CCTTTACCTCCCCTTTCCATCCCTCATCCTTCAGAGGGCCAGATGCTTCTTTGTCAGAGTGCTTCTTTACCACAGAGATTACAGCTACTTGTTCCACAGCAAACAGAGTGAAGAACAAACCCAGAATATTCTTAGATGGATTTTACAGTGACCTCTCCTGAAGAAAACAACCTTATATTATTTGTTCTTTGAAATGTGTGTAAGCAATAGAAAATAAATGTCTTCCTAAATAATTCTTAGAAAAATTACAAAGGAGGTTCATCTATGGTCATATGAAGACTTTACAAACCTACAGGCATTAATGGCACATGTGTTCCAAGGATCACAACTTTGATGTATGGGCAAGAAATATTCCAACATTTAGAATATGTTTATTTTTCAGAGTTCTCTCTGAAGATGCTGGAGCCAAACAAACCGCCCTTCAGTATCCTGACTTAATTAGATCAGAAGCAAGAAACAGATCAAAGCCTTGGACATAGTCAGATACCATAAGCAGGCTAATAATACATTGTGACCACCACTGCTCACAATGCAAAATTTTGAATTAATATTATATTGGCTCATGAAAAACCTGGAGATATTTTCACCTTTCACCTTAATTACATGCAGATAAAGGAATTAACAACAACATTGTCAAATGTTACTTAGAAAAATGGGAAGTGAAGATGTTGTTATTTAGTTGTTAAGTCGTGCCTGACTCTTCGTGACTCCATGAACCAGAGCACGCCAGGCCCTCCTGTCTTTCACTGCCTCCCGGAGTTTGGTCAAATTCATGTTGGTCGCTTCAATGACACTGTCCAACCATCTCATCCTGTTGTCCCCTTCTCCTCTTGCCTTCACTGAAGATAAAAGATGCCAAGACTTCTACCTATTAAATGTCATGATTTCCATGCTCAAAATATGACTGTGTTTGAATCCAACCCATTACAATGCAATACAATTATACATAAATCTCCTGAGAAGTAAGTAGACCTTTAGGACTTACTGACAAGAAAACACATATTGGATTGCAACCTAGGAACAAAATGGTGCCTGACTAGAGATGAACAGAAGAATATAGAAGCCATAAATTTACTCCACACCAAAGTTAATTCATGTAGCATGAAGATATGATGTGAATGAAAAGAATCCATAGTCTAAATGTACAAGAAGATCAAATGCAAAATTGAAAAGTCGAAAAGGAGAGAGGTTTTCTTCTACAAAATTATGTGGGAAACATGTTCCCCAAAAGAAGCTTTAGAAACAGAAACAGGCACTTTTGCATAATATGAGTGGTGATGATAAATTGCATACTTGGAAGCTCTAATAAAACAGGAATATACACAGACAGAAATGGCTCTACAACCATTTATTTAACTTTAAAGCTGGTGTGAACAAAATAAAAAAATAAGTATCCCAAATGTCTTCATACAAAAGATCAAATCTCAACTAATTTTAGGAAAGAATATTACAAAGAACAGTGGTTCCCAAATTTGGGTCCCCGGATATTCTTGGAATACAATTTCCAAAAATCCTGGTAAGCACTGCTAGTGGTGAAGGATTCTGGGAGTTGTAGCCCAAGAACATCCGGGGACACTAGGTTGGGAACCACTGGCCTAGAAGAATCAGAAAAGAAACCTTTCATTTGTAAAAGGATGCTACCTTTGGCCCACCAGGTATTCTTAATTACTTCTCTTACAATTCCTATCTTCCTATCACAATGCTCTATCTTCTATCAATTTGAAATGGACAAGAAGCACATGAATTAGGATATAATCTTTAGAATGCATACTCGGAAGGAAGCCCCACCAAATTCAGCAGTTTTAGAAAAGGTAGCAGACACCTGAGTAAGTGGAGTTGTACATGTAAGCTCACATTAAAATATAGCAGTAAGTCTTTAAGGTGCCACATTTTTATCTTTATTTTTCTGTTGTTTTTGCCTGATACAAATTCAGGAGGTCTTTTTTTCCCACACAAGAAAATACAGAATTACATCCTAAATCTCTACCAACTAATCTGGTGGGAGAAACCATATACTGCACTGTCTAGTTCACAGCAATATAGTCCAAGATTCTCTCTAATTTTCTGCTAGTGCTGGGTGCCCCCACCCCCGTATGTAGGGCTCCAGCCACAACCGGACGCAAATGGGCAGCCATACGGGCTCGGCTGCACAGACGTGCAGCTTAGAGGGAACGTAGGTTCCACTGGAGATTCTGAAATGCATTAACTCTCAACCAAAACATTTTTTAAAGTTCACAGGTCTGGAATAGAACTTTCTTAACCAATATATAAACAAGACAACAGCTGGAGCGGATGCTGTGCTTTGTTTTGTTTTAAATTCCCACAGATTTCAAGAGTAACTCTTTCCCATGAGATAAAATTTTACAAATAAATCAAGGCAGTTGGAATCCATTGATCTATGTTTATAGTGAATTATCTGCTTACATCATCCAGGTTGAATGGACTGAATAGATTATGAGATTCCAACTGTTGTAGTTAACATTCTGACCAATCAGGTTTTCTCACTGTTTCCACCTTTACTGGGCACATATATAGGCATATGTAGATACACACACATGAGAATTGCCTGTAGTTTTAGCCCATAAAAGATGTGATGAGTAAATGAATATTGCAATCATGATATGGGACTGAATCCAACTAACAGTCTGAAAGAGAGTAGATCCATTGAATAAAGCAAAGTGTGCTGCTTATATACCACCCCATAGCACTTAAAGCACCCTCTGGGTGGTTTACAATTTAATTATCCAGACTACAAATTGCTCCACCAACACCAAGCTGGATACTCAGTTTACCAACCTTGGAAAGATGGAGGGCTGAATGAATCTCAAGCTGGCTATGTGGGATTGAGCAGAATTTTGGCTGCAGTACTGCAATTTAACCACTGCACCACAAGGCTCCTCTTTAAATGGGTCTCTCTACTTATGATCCAGTGGGTCTAATTCTAGTCCAGTTTGGACATTCCACTGGATTTAGTACATAACCTTTCATACCTCATGAGCACCTGCCAAGACAAAGGGTGTCAGTGTCAGCCCCTGCACTACAGTACTTGCACTCATACCATAATGGCATCAGGGATTAGCACAGAGAAGTGAACACTCAGCAGTTAGGGGCCTGTGTCTCCAAATGGCTGGCCATCATAATTACATCAGCAGATTCCAATTGCTTGGTATATTTCCAAAGTTTTATCCCTTTCCAAAGACTTTTCTCTCCAAACTTATCAGGAAGGGAGATAGCAATAATGTACCTCTGCATGGTTTTGTTTGCTTTATAGATAGTTATAAAAATATTAGATCCTCCATGGAACATCTATTACTATAATCCCTTTGTTTTGGAGAGAAAAATAACATAAAGTTGTAATGGAGGGGCAGCATGATTCTATGGAAAGTAGGAAAACAAATGGAAGAAATATGCAAGTAACAAACCCAAGAATCTTAAGAGCATGTGCCGAGCCACCACCATCAATGAATGGCAGGTCATTTACATATCATAGGTTCACAAGAAGCATAAGAAGAAAGGTAGAATGGTCAGTGGAAAAAAAAAAACTCCTTGACACAACTATGTGACAGGTATGTATGGATGTATATTAAAGGAAACCTCCCTGGGTCCAATCTGGGTATTGAGAGAATTATAAAATCCAAGACTCAATGTAAAGGTGACAAAGGGATATTCCAGTTAGAGTCAAGAGGACTTTGTGCCAGTTGTGCCATATATAGGTTATCATTTAGAAGCAGTTCCACTCCCCCCACCCACAGACAACAAATGACACAAAGGACCATACATAAACTGAGTTTCGTATATTACACCAGCAGCAAAGAAGTAAAAATCTAGAAGATGTTAGGACCTCCTGAAGAAGAGATGCACAGGGTAAGAACGCAAAAAGAGGCATGCTGAATCAGGCCAAAAGCCTATCTCATCCAATATTTTGGATGTTAAGGGACAACCAAAAGGGCCTAAATGCATCTGTACATTCTGCCTAATGTATCCCAGAAACTGAGACTCACAGGAATACTCCCTCTGATACTAGAGGTGATCAATAGCCAACCTAATTAGCCATTGATTGCCATAACTATTATGAATTTATTTAAACTCCTTCAAAAGCCATTCATGTTGACCATCATCACTGCATAACAACAAATTCCACCATCTAATCATGCCCTGTGAGAAACAGCAATTTCTTTTATCTGTATTGAATCCCTCACCAATCACTATCAGTGGGTGACCTCAGGTTCAAATATTAGGAGACAGGGAGAAAAGCACTGCCCTATCAACTTTCCCCATACAACACATACTTGTATACGCCTCATAATTTCTCCTTACTCAACTTTTTTTCCTAAGCTAAATAGCATAGTAACCTTTCCTCACAGGGAAGTCCTTCCAGTTCCTTGTTCATTTCATTCATCCCTTCCTGCACTTTTTCCAGCTCTTTAATTTGTTTGGGATTTGTTTGTTTAGTTTAATCCCTCCTAAGATTATACTACAAGAGTCATCAATCCTCAATAGCACTCAAGGGGATTATGATCTAATAGCCATTTAGGAAATCACATTACTCATTCATGTTCTAAAATCTTGTTCCCCAGGTGTCACTAACATCAGTGCTTTACAAGAATGTGAACAGAAATGCTTTCCTCCTCCCCTTATGACCCCAAAACAAAGCACATTTACTACAGAATGTTATTGAACTCGGCAGAACCTCTAAGAAAAAAAGTTCTAAGATATGTAGGATCATAGTAACAGTGTGCTTAGCATTTTCTTGAGAAAGCATCTTAATTAGAAATCATCATCATCATCACCATGTTAGAACTGCAGAGCTGGAAGGGACCCTATGGATCATCAGGTCCAGCCCCTGTCAAGGGGGCATAGTGGGGAATCAAACCCTCAACCTCTAGCTCTACAGCCAGATGCCTAAACCACTGAGCCATCCAGTCAATTCTCTTTTCATATTTCCTCTGACTGGAATTCCTAGGACTTTTGGGGAATTAAAAAAAAATACTTTAAAACAGTTACGGTTTTTCTATTTAACACTTGCAATTTTAATATTCTCAATACATCACATACAGTACTAATTCCTCCAAAATGGTCCAAAAAACCTAGAGTGCAGGGCAAAGAATGAGAAACAAGGGAGTGTATAGTAGTTTTGTTGCTGGAAGTAAACAGTTGGTCACGGGGCTCCCAATCCAAAGAGGAAGCCAGTGTTTTCATACTTTCTGGTAGACCCGAGTACATTTGGCACTATTCATGACACATTCCTGGAAGACAAAGAAAATTCATTCATTAAGTCGCTCTTCAAATTGGTAAAGAAAAGGGCAATACAGATGGAAACTTATTATGCATGAAACATATGACATTCCAGCTATTGTGTACAAATCTGGCATGGAAAACAAAATAAAAATTCCACTTACTACAACCAGCTTCCCATCAACTATCTTCCTTGTTATCGTGGCCTCTTTGCCATCCCACTTCTGACTTTGGGTCAACACGTTGTTTTCATCTAAGGTAATAAGAGTCTGTAAAGGAATAGGCATGTTGGTCCTTAGCCAGTTCCACAGATAATTGATTCCAAAAATCTAACCTTGATACAGAACAAGAAAATAAGACAATAGTTCCCATATTTCTGATATTGTGGTAAAGCACATGACTAAAATGTCTGCTTGTATGAACACTTCCACTATTCATCAGAAGGGCCTGCCCCAATACTTCCATTATTCATCATAATGCAAGCTACACAAAACGGACTACTTTCACCAAGTGATAAATTATTACGGTGAGCCTGTGATCATGTGAGTTGTGTGACTGTGAGCAGCATTAGTCTAGAAGATGAGGTGAATTTCATCATTTTCTTGTTTTTCCAGATTTATAATTGGATGTGGAAAGTTCCTCTCACAAAAACAAAAGGAGACAGAATTCAAATATTATAAGCAGACCTATGTGCCAAATTAAACACTTCTGAGTTCCCTATTCCCTTTCCAGCCCCGTCATGTCTGTTTTTTACTATGGCATACCTCCAGTTCCTCACCTACTGCAAATTCTTCAGCCTACATTCCTCCAAGAATCCCCACCCCACTAGCTGACCAAGTTCTCTTCCCCAGCAAGAGAAGAGTATGAAACGACAGTCAGAAGCAGCCATGTGCACAAATTCCCCATTCCCTACAAACCAAAAACACTCATTATTGTTAGTTCACACAATTATTGGAGCATAATTGTGAAGGTTCAGAGTGCTTAACAGTCTGTGGAAAAACGATAAACAAAAATGTTCTGTGATTAACCTGTGCTGCTGTGCTTTTTCCTCTATAAAATTCTGTCCTGACAGGTATGAGTAGAACTAGCTAATAACAGGGCAGAAAATGCAAATGATACCCAGCTATGTGAATAACCCACATATGTCATTAAGTCAAGGGTAGGAAAGTTGGGCCTTTCAGATGCTTTGAACTTCCACTTCTAGAAGTACCAAAAAGTAAGCCCAACAGTAAAGGGTTCTGAGAGTTATAATCCAAAATATTTGGAGGACCAAAGGATCTTAGAATAGTATTAAATGTTTACATAAATGTTAATTATTTCAATTAAGCCCATTTAGGGCTTCCTAAACGATTGTGCCCATGAGTTTAATCAGTCTGCATTACCCACTTTTTCATCTTCAATAATGCCTCAAATTCTGCTACCTTTCTCATTTTGCCTCATGATAAGTCACCCTCTGTATTCCAACTGAAGACATTTTCTCGTTGATAAACAGAAAGAACGCTACTATTCTAAAAGAAGGGAGGAAACCAAGAAGAGCAATTTGCATATGATAAAGACAGATGTAGAACCAGTCTGAGGAGTATAATAATTCTAGGGGAGGGAAAGGTTTTGACAAGCAGTCATTACTGTGAGGATTGGCTGTGGGCCAGGGCTTACTTCTGCATGTTTTTTTCTTGCATTTGCTTTTATCTTTGGGGGTTTTCCATGCATCAAATCACTTGGGAGCAGACTGTATGGCTTTGAGAATTGACATGACCTGGCATCTTATGCATACTGTCATGCAGGTGGTACAGGTTCAAGTTGTGCCAATATGGAGGAGAAGCCTTTGAAAGGGATCTTCAGTTTGACCCACATCTTTAGCTTAGTGAGAACAGTTCAGTTTCAACCACAGGCAAGGCAGTCCCAGGGAAAACTCACTGAATTATTCAGGCAGGTTCTGTGACCGGACTGTATCAAAATATATAAGTGTAGCAATGATGCTGATGCCATAACTCCACAGCATAATAAAATAACATGTTCTTTTATGGCCCAAGAATAGAAAATTGAGTCACTAAACCACAGAGTCACACTTTTGTCATATTAAGGCTGAAGACCTTTGTTGTGAAAACAAACTAACTAACTTTTGCAGTGAGAACAGCAAGAAGTATTGGTCCATTAGAAAAAAGAATCTTAAAGCAATGGTCCTTCACTTTGCTAAGTATTATGTTGCCCTAATCATGGGTGTTATCTTCTTGAGTGCTAACCTTTTTGGTAACTATAATGCATAAAAAGGATCCAAGGTGGCTTACATGATAAAACTAAAAACATTGAACTATTCATTATTTAAAAGGAATTAAATAAACATACAGTATTAAAAATGTTAGGTAAAAGAATTACTAAAACAGATTTAAAAGCAACAAAAATATAAACCATCCCATTTTAATACCTCTCTTAGATAGCTAGTCACTGAGGAAAAAGGCTATCTGAAGAGAAAGTTATTTGCCTGCATGCAGGACAGTAAAGATGGGGCCAGCCTGACCTTCCATAGGAGGGTGTTCCGGAATCTGGGAGCATCAACAGAAAAGACCCTCTCCCATTTCCTCACCAATTTCCCCATACACCCCAAAAGTAATGCTTGCGAACTTCAGAGGGAATGCAGAATCATATCTGAGTCTGATGAGAAAAAACCACAGCAAACCTTTGGCTCTCTCTTAGATAGCTAGTCACTGAGGAAAAAGGCTATCTGAAGAGAAAGTTATTTGCCTGCATGCAGGACAGTAAAGATGGGGCCAAACTGGCCTTCCATAGGAGGGTGTTCCAGAATCTGGGAGCATCAACAGAAAAGGCCCTCTCCCATTTCTTCACCAATTTCTCCATACACCCCAAAAGTAAAGCTTGCGAGTTTCAGAGGGAATCAAAACCATATCTGAGTCTGATGAGAAAAAACCATAGCAAACCTTTGGCCTCTGCATTTCCCTCACCTGGTCTACCATGGCCACTGGGAGGTATATGGAAGTTCTCCATTTCAGTTTAAATTAACCCCAGCTCACAATGTCATCAGAACTCACACTATGGTTAAACATCTATGGTTACTTGGAAAAACCATCTCAGATCAAAATTTACGGACTTCATTTATTTCAATGGACATTAGTTAATGTGCTTATGTTGATGTTTGTAGGATACCTCTGCTTAAAGGTTGTAGCTGCGATTCTGTTCCAGTGATGTGCATACACTCCTGGCAGGAAGCGGCAGCTGCCAGCAGGCAAGGTAACCCCTTATTCTGCCCTTTCACTTAGAGGTGGAGCATAAAATCAAAGGGTTATTTCAGCCAATCCTGGTTACAATTAGGTAACTAGTATCCTATCTGTCTCTCTCACAAAATACTATGTAAATCATGCTAAGTAAATAAAAGAGCTCTCAGAGCGTTGCCTGTAGGCTCTGCTGGCTCAGACATCCACTGTTGACTCCTTTGTGCTTTCTCTAAGGCAATTAGCCTTCCTTTGTTTCGTGATCACCCACAGATGTTCCTTCAGGGCTACTTTATTATCACAATCTTTCTAAGTTTAAATGTTTAAGGCTGCAATGCTGTCTCCATCTACCTGGGAGTAAGTTCTACTGAACTTGACAGAACCTACTTAGGGTAGATCTACATAGCTCTGTGCTATTGATGTGGCTGTTGTTATACACTGCTCATTTGAACATGTTTTATTTATTTTATTTATTTATTTATTTGATTTTTACCCCGCCCCTCTAGACCATGTCTACTCTGTGGTTGATATTTTGAATGTGTTCTCTTATCACAAAATGTTGAAAGTTGCTATAGAAACATGAATGATGGGCAAAGAATGAGGCTTAAAATAAAAACAATAAATTCAGGTGATACTGCAAGAAAAATAGATGACAATACGTTTAATCTGGACTAATTAATTATTCCAATAGGTTGACTTAAACAATAACAAGTGTCTAAATTCAATTTAGTCTCACTTGGCATAGACCCACCAAATACATGTGTGTTGACTTGTTATATTTCCACTGATTCAGTGCATCTACTCTATAGTTAGGATCAACATCTCAATCTAGACTTTAGTCTAATCCTAAGTAGACAGCTGTAGCTCTTTAGATGTTTCTAGCCTTCAACTCCCATCAACCAGTGTGACCCAGGAAGGATTATGGGAGTTCCAGCCCAAAAACATCTGATGTTATCATCATTGCTAACCCAATGACTGATAAACTGAATTCAGTATCCAGCTAACTCATAAATAATTTCACTCGAATGGGCATGCCTTTGTGCAGCAGTAAAAAAAGTACAACCAGTAAGTACAACTGTGAGGGAAATTAATATGTCATTCATGAGGGACTAACTTGTATGCGACAAAACTCAAGGAGAACCTTCAAGCAGGAATTGCATCTGCATGCTTCCTGAGTAACTGTTTCCGTTAACCCAGAGTTGAGCTACGTTGACTGGATAGCTGTAGTCCAACACTTGCTTTTCCAAGCTCATTCTTTACATATTCGCGAAGGCTCTCAAGGCCAGGATTTAATGGCTGTTGTGGGTTTTTCAGGCTCTTTGGTCGTGTTCTGAAGGTTGTTCTTCCTAACATTTCGCCAGTCTCTGTGGCCGGTATCTTCAGAGGACGGCATCTTCAGAGGACAGCACCTTCAGAGTGCTGCACCTTCAGAGTGCTGTCCTCTGAAGATGCCGGCCACAGAGACTGGTGAAACGTTAGGAAGAACAACCTTCAGAACACGGCCAAAGAGCCCGAAAAACCCACAACAACTCATTCTTTACCTTTGTTTTTCGGCCATCTATCGTATCTTCATCAAAAGGCTCTCCAATTTTGAAGCAGCATTCAGAGGTCTTGAAAGTGCTTTCTGTTTTTATATTCATTTTATCTCCATCCCTGGTGATGATAACATCTGGCTTAGCCATGCTTCCCATCTTCCTCATGGCCATGCCAACACCTGCCAGACAGAAAGAGCAGAACCTGTCAGGTTTAGCCAAACACAGTGATAATTATGATGAAGTCACACACACAAGATTTCCCAACTTTCTAATTAGGGGAGGAAGGAGAAATCTGGTGAGTCAGCAGAGGTGTTGCTGCACTGTAAAAATAGGGTGCTGATTACAGCCCTTTTAATTTTATTCTGCCATACATGGTAATAGTTTTTGTAAAAGCTCAGCATATTTTTTTTTAAAAAAGCTGTACTCCAGATGCAATTCTAAAAATTATTCTGTTTAGGCAAAAGATACAAGTTCACTGCAATGCAACAAGTTTAGAAACATAAAATAAGAGTATTAAAAAACTTTTGAAATGGAATAAATTGCAAAGCAAATGATACCTCTTTCAGGTAGAGATAAAATAATGCAGTACAGATTTATAAATGCCCCTGCAGTTCAGCTATACTCAGATTAAAGGTTAGTATCCCTAAATACTGTACTTAATCACTACTTGATAGTTAAAACCTCAAGTGAAGATATGCATCATAAAAACAAATTACAAACAGATTTCATGCCACTTTAAAAAAGTGCTTTCCAACTGTCAATGAATCTTTAAGAACAGAATAAGTACAGTAAGTTGAATAAGCAAGTGAACAAATGATGGGATTTGTGTACACATATCAAACACCATTGTCCCAGGATCCAATAGTAAGTGTAAGAGAAGATTAACAACTTCGTTAGACCATGACATATAAGCATAGTCTAGGAAGTTTTGTTTTCCTTGCAGCTGCTTCCTCAATGAAGACAAAATGTGATACAGAGCAATCCTATGACGATCTGAATACATAGCAGACTAGCCTCCCTACAGCCTCCATTTGTTGGGCACAGGAACCTCATGTGAAGATTAAGTGTGTGTACTATGGGAAAGGGTGAAAGGTCAAAAGAGCTACTTTGTTAACCTACACCACTGAGATTCCCATTACCATCATGCCCATTATGGATTCTGGGAAGTGCGGTCCAAAGAAGTAATTTTTCCAAATCTAGCTGGATGAAGAAATCTTTGCAAGCCACAACACTCACACACTGTAGCTGCAGACAGAAACCCAAAACTGTCTTCTATTTGCCACTCATTGTCAGGGTTGTGGATATTCTGTGGTCTTAGGGTCACACTTCGACATGCAAGTCATTATATAGTGCCACTCATTGTCAGGGTTGTGGATATTCCATGGTCTTAGGGTCACACTTGGACATGCAAGTCATTATATAGAGCACGATCACATTCACTCTCAAAAGAGAAGTCCCTAAGGATTCAAAATAAGTGTGAGAAGCCTTCACCACCAACTGTGCTGACTGGGGTTTCTGGGAGTTGCAGTTCAAAAACATCCGAGTAACAAAGGTTAAGAACCACTGATACAGAGCACGATCACATTCACTTTCAAAAGAGAAGTCCCTAAGGATTCAAAATAAGTGTGGAATAGTTAGAAACTGAACCTTAGTGTTGGCTTTTGCTCCTGCCCTAGAAGAAGAGGATCTGAAAGCATCGATATACAGCATATATATAGAGTATGAAGCATTATTTTCTTTGCTTAAATTTATATGAGTCCCTAAGGATTCAAAATAAGCATGGAATAGTTAGAAACTGAACCTTAGTGTTGTATTTTGCTCCTGCCCTAGAATAGCAGAAAGCATCGATATACAGCATATATAGAGAGTATGAAACATTATTTTCTTTGCTTACATTTATATAAAGTAGAGAATTCAGCTTGTCCTGCAAAGTTTGGACTGCTGGCTCTGAATCTAGTACAAAGTATGCACAAACTTGTCCAAGAGTCATCACTGAATTCTCACTTCATTTTAGCTGAATTAATCCACAAGGACAGAAGGAAGAAAGGCCCTAACAAAACAGCCGGATGTTAATTCAGGAAACTGTTGTTCTTCCCAGTTTCACCCTCAGCTGGACTTATTGCTTTCTAAACATGTACTCTTGGCAGACCTATCAATGCAGTACAAAATTATTCATCATTCATGTGTCTAATGCACCGTTTAATTTATTTGTGGGTGGGGGAGAGTGAGAAAGATATCATTAGGTTAGAGTTTGCATTCATGTTCTTGATTTTAGAAAATTTGGTTTCAGGATTCCGCGCCCCCCCCCCCTTTTATGGTGAGATCACAAAGTCAAATATTGAGATTTTTTTAAAGCACCAGCTATTCTTTGAAGATCAGGATACCTGCTGTTCAGATTCTTTCTGTGCCAATAGCATCTAGATGTCATCCAATAATAACTGCATTACATATTCCAGTTCCATTTTTAAAAATTGCTTTCCATCCAGCATCAAAGAAAATCTCAGATAAATTCTTCCCACCCAGTTCTGCCCTCTGCCCTTCCCCTTCACCGTTCCCTCAATACCCCAGCCCCCTTTCTGCACCCCATGACTGTTTTTCAATGGAGTTTCACACAAAAGATCTGCAACCCTTTTTTCCATTCAGCAGCTCATGTTTGAAACAATATCCATTTGTATGTATATAAACCCAAGCTCTTCTCCACAGACCTTGGACAGAGCATTCAGTCTCCCAGGAGCTGAGAAAATAAAACACAAAGCTCCTAATCCCTGATCCCCACATGAGCTCAGAGAGGAAGACGTGCTTCCAACAGAGGAAAATTAATTAATTCCTATTCCCTCTTCATAATCCTCCACCCCTAATAAAGACAGACAAACTATATGTGCATGAATGAGAAAGATAGTGATGTGCATACTCAGAAATAAAGACCACTGGGGAAATGCATGGCAATTTAACAGTACGGTGCATACACAAAAAACACAAAAGAATCTATGCCGCACATACACCCAGTACAAAGCAGAGAGAGGAGTTTTACAATCACAGCAGCAGCCAATAATTCATATAATCCAAAACAGCCATTTTAAGAGATAATTCTGCCAGTAAGATTTACAGCTTTTGACTGTAGTCCTTTTTATTTACATATGCACAAAATCAAGTTATGCACACGTGAATAAAGCACAACTTGGAAAATGTCATTCACTGTATGATGTGTATATGTATACAAGGTATGTTTATACAAAAAAGTCCATTCCTCTTATGCAATTATGACATTGCTTTAGTAATTTAAACACACTTCTTTCATCTCTTAATCCTGACTTTTCCATGTTCCCATATTTTTGAAAAAATTCTGTTTTGTAATATCTATATCTATATCTATATCTATATCTATAATAATAATAATATTATATGTAATTATAATGCCCCCATCCTTTTATAAGATCTCCTTCCATCCTCTTTTTTTGACAAAGCACTTCCTTACCCAATTCCTTCATAAACTCTTCAAAGCCTTCACTGGAGATGAGGTGCCATCTGCCTACAAAAACGTCTGGGTTGGCCATCACACTGCGAGGGATGGAGCGGTCCGGCTCGACCAAGAGCTAGCAAAGAAGCGACTCAACAGAAACTCCAGCCTAGGAACCCGGGGCACGGGAGGTTAGAGGGAGGGAGTCTTTATATGGATGTCCTGAGCATGTGCTGCCGGCCAGAGACCAATGGGAAAAGGTAACGTCAGAGATGCCACCGCCCGGCCCTGAACTGCGGAGACGCCAAAAGAAGGGCTCGCGCCCAAAGGGGCTTCTCCGCGGGGAGGGGAGGGGAGGGGGAAGGAGTTGGTCCCCTCCCTCCCTTCTCTGGCTCTCGCTTCTGAGGGAAGAGTCATTATTTGCTCGCGGCCATGGCTGCTGGGCGTCAGGGCATCTCCTCCACGCTCAGCCCGCCCGCCGGTACTCCGGACAGCGGATAGCGCTGACTCTACGGGTTTTACTCTGTTCTTGCAGAGACGGCGCGATACCCGGATGGCCGGCACAATGCCCGGAGAGAACCTGTAAGCCTCAGGGGGCAGCACGGTCCGTGGAGCTCTTTGCGTGCATTAGAGTTTGTGTGAACGCTTCCTCTAGGTCTAGAAGGAGGTCAAGCCCCGTTGGCCCCGCGACTGCTTCTCTCCTTTCAGGGCGGAGTATCTGTTCCCGTCTACTGTGTCTGAGGAAGCTGGCGATCACCCAGCCTACGAAGGTTCGCACTGAAATACATGCAATTAGTAGGCTTAAAGGTGCCACAGCACGTTTGTTTGGGGGTTCGGGCTCCCCTCCCCCACGGCTTCTTGAAACAGATCAAGGAGGCTACTTCTGTGAAAACTGCACACACGTTGTGCGTGTGCCTTTCCTGCACGTGTCAAGGTGGGTGAGGGTAGGTCTGACAGCTCCACACCTGTCTAGGCATACTTTGAACGCATGTGAGGGCTTGTCTGTCTTCTCCCCCAAGTCAATTTGGGGGGTTCCACTAAGATAGGCTGGGGCAACGAATGTAGAAACCGTTGCCCCCCGAAAGGCAACTTTTTCAGTCCACGATCGCTGCTTTTTTCTTAGTTCTCAACTGATCCTGATTAAGTTATTCCCCCCCACTGGGAGTTTTGAGGTGGATTCTCGTGCAACATCATGGTATAGGAGTTTCCAAGGCACCAATAGTTTTTTAATTAGGGATCTCCAGGAGCGCCCCCACCCCCGCCGCTGCCCTCTGCTTGAATCGAGGGGACCCTGGCAGACGGATGGCAGGACTTTCAGAAAGCGCAGTTGGGATAGCAGCCCAAGATTCTTTAAAACAGCAATTCAGAGAACCTACTCTTTCTGTCTGTCCCCTTTGCCCTCACCCTTCCTCTTCCCGGGATTTGAAATTAGCGGTTCTGCAACCACATGCCTTGATCATCAGGATGTTACTAGACAGGAAGGGAAATACGCATTCACTCACCTTCACCCTCTGTGAAGTGGCAACAGGGAGTTAGAACTCTGTTCTATTTGAATGACCAGACTCAAGGTAAATTGAACTGCTTGTAATCCTTCTTACTGTCCTACAGGTAGTGCTGTTTAAAGAACTGTATTAGAAGGCAACACGCACACGCACCCTGGCAAAACTGCACCTGATAAAGTTCGTACTTACACATTTGTATACACAGTGTGTACACCTGTTTTTCACTATTTTGTTTAACTGTTTTCTGGATTTTTGCAATGGATAAAAGACAGAGGAAATAAGTTGTTTGGGAGTAGATTCAGATAGATACATGAAAACAGTTTTTCACAGATACATTAGGGAACTAATGTAGGGGTTGTCACTCTCGAATTGGCCTTCTCAGCCACACTAGACGCTTTTTTATTGTATTATAATTATTGTTAGCCACCCAGAGACCTTTGGGTTGTGTCACGGCATATAAGCTAACTAACTAACTAACTAACTAACTAACTAACTAACTAACTAACTAACTAAATAAATAAATAACTAAATAAGATGCAAAAACAAGATGCTCAAGCCAGGCAAATACTTGCTGTCAGTGCCGGCAAGCAGGTAAGCGAAGAAGGCAGAGTTGAGAAGCATGCCGCCCAGAGTGGTCGACCAGACCAGATGGGTGGGATAAAAAATAAATAAATAAATAAATAAAATGCTCTTTCCAATTTATCCTGTTCCCCAGGCATCTAGAACCTGCTTGAAATGGTAGAACATTTATTTATTTATTGGAAATGCTAAAACATTCCAGCCTCCAGCTGATATCCACCCACATGTGCCATCTCAATGAGTTGAATGGAATTAATCCACTGTTGCAAAATCACATTTCTGCACATGTGTGAAGACATGTAGACTGATATGACAATGGCTGCCTACCACCCCTTGGCTGTTTGTTCTTCTGATTTTAAACAAATAGCATTGTTCAAATCCAGCTGTTAGTTCCAACTAGTGTAGATTTATTCAATCAATGGGTCCTATAATAAGTGTTGACCTAACAAGTTATTTTAGAACTAACAATCAATTTAGTTCTACATGTCTATACAGTATGTGTAACAACCTTTATTGTATGAAGAAAAGAACAATCCTGGTCAGACTCGAAGTCTGTCTAGCATAGCATCTTGCTTCATATACTAACCAATGAGATACTTCCAGGAAGTCCAACTCTCAGCATCTGCCAGCTGATGTGGCTTATTCACCTTCCCTAATGGTAGAATCAGAACAGTGCAGGATTAAAGGAGCTGTACTGTATAGCTCTATAAAAGCAGAAGGATGCCAACCTGTTTAACATCACTTCATTTCCTAATAATTTATATCATGAACTTTTCTTTTTCATCACTGCCATGTATTGAGTTGACATTTTCACTGAATCATCTACTACAAGCATAAGATTTTTTTTCTAGTTACCATCAGCTCACACACCATCCAACTATATGTGACATGGGTGTTGGGTTTTTGCCCCATTTTCTATGGTATATTAGTTTTGAACATACTGACAGTACCCTTTGCCAGATACCAAAGAATATTAAAAAAGCTGTTTTCATCTCCAATGAGAACAGGTCATCTGTAAAACCAATAAGTCTTAATTGCCTGTTCAAGACCAAGCCATCACAAACTTTACTTGCTTAAAATATCCCGAGAATATCCTATACTGCCAGATTTCAAGATCCTAGCACCAATATGCACCCCTGTCGGTGTTTTATTAGCTGTTTTCCAGGCCATTCCAATGACAAGATATTTGTGTATGAAGATCAATAGTTATATTGAGTTTGCATGAGTACTTGCATGGAACATAGTGGCTAAGAGACTGAGCTAGGAATCAAAAGTCCCATATTTGAATCTTGCCTCTGCCATGCACTCATTAGGAGGTTTTGTCAGACCTTATACTTTTCTTCATTCTCATTGGGCAAGATTCTTCCATCCTTTTTTTAAAAATAGCAGTAGTGGGTATCTCTTTTTCTTCTAAATATTTGGACCTGAAAATTTGATTGTATCTCTTTTTCTTCTAAATATTTGGACCCGAAAATTTGATTCCATCATGGCTAATGGAAAGGTCCAGGTCCCACTAGACTATAATCCAAAACATTCCGAGGAACAAAAGTTCCTCACCTCTTGTTTCTTTAGTAGCTTCCTCAGTTCATCATATCAACCACCCCAGCACCTTGCTTGACATGTTGGCAGCCTTCCTAATCTGTGATACAAAATCTTGCTGAATTTCTATTATTGAAAACTAGAATAGCTC